CTTTTGAACTGATGGAGAATCCTCGTTATGGCCGTAGAGGTAGGAAAGTGACTATTTTCGTTGATAAGAACTGGTGTGAAAACTGCAAGCCCTTGTTCTCATACTCTGATGATTAGATAGATGTTATTGTTATCATGTAAAAGCCGCGTTTGCTTAATGATTTTAAGGACGTTACATTCGTTAGCATTCGTGTCCGCCTTCAAGCTGCGAAGGTACTTTATCCTTATTTGCCGACTTTCTTTCCCAAAAGCATGCCATATTGTCTTGTTAGCGTCTCATTCATTTATGCAAAGATTTTAACCGTGCGAACCTACCTCCCGATACTCTTCTAGGATCTGATAATGTTGCTTCCTTCAGTACTCATGTCGGCGCCCCTCTTGATCACATTTTAATCAACAACTTTAAACTTTTTTCGTGTTAAATTAGATTTCCGCTTTCTGGTTCGGACCACTCACTGTTACTGGGCCTTTCGAAAGCCTACTCCACTTCTAAGCGTGAACTGCTAATTAAACATGAGGGGAAAATTACGGTTCCTAACGCTTTTACACAAAACCTTTGTTTGCTTCAGAGTTCGACAGCCACTATTATCCTCGCCTTCCCAAGCTATCTAATAAAATATTTAAGTGGAACTTTTGATATCTGTTGTTCTCTTGAAACTGTTATGGTTGAACATGAGGAAATCTCGTCCTCATCTCAAATTTTTCAGGTGTCGGAAACAAATGCTCTACAAACCAAGCCTATGTGAGAGCCTAAAGTATGTTAGAGTCCTAGTAAAAACGTAGATGGCTTTTCATGTTTCTTTCTTTTGCTCTTTTATCACCGTCTAACTGGCGAAAGTAGCGTACTAGTGCATATTATCGCCAATTTAGTCTCACTAGTCGAAACAATTATCTTTACTATCAGTGACTGCATTCTTCCCTAAAACGACATTTTGCTTCCACCGTATGTCTTCTATACTGTCTCTGTGGCTATAACGGAGAAAAATCTCAGATAGCACCTGTTGCGACACATTTTACTAGTATGTCTTTCATAGAGTTAAAGATGCCTGACGCTTGGGTTACAATGTGAACCACTGTCATCCCTAAGACGTCTACGTATCTTGGCGCTTAATCCATCCGTTCAATTACATACTCCTCTGCACATGAGAGGCTCATTGAAAGAGTTGCCATAAACGTCATTGAGCCTCTTCCCTCCAATTTTTCGACCTTTTGCAATTTGCATATAAAGCCGGGCATGAACCTTGCACGCTGTTGCTCTTCTGGGTCACTCCGTTTCAAGAAAGGTGGAAAGTGTTGTCATGCGTGCACATGTGCATTTCTCGACTACTCTTCTGCGTTCAACACAGTCCGGCGCCATCTCCTCTTCAGCATATCATCTGTCTGTGGCTCTCCCGGATGGATTGTTTCTTGACTTAAAGATTATTTTGCCTTCGCACTCAGCTTGTCAGGCGGGAGCCTACCGCTCCTTCTAATTAACTGTGGAGTTCTTCAAGGTTCCCTTATTCCGCACTTCCTCTCACTTCACACTGAGGGCCTGAAATCACCCAACGACTACTTATACGCCAAATCCGCTGACGATATGGTTGTTGGTCATCCACTTAGAAATCAGACTCACCTCCAGCTCTGAAGGATGGCTTAAATGATGTCTCTGTGCGGTCGTTGGAAAATGGTCTTTTGCCTAACAATCAGAAATCTGCCCAGTGTGCACTCCGATTGCGACCCTTCCCCATTCATAAATCCCTCGGCATTCTTCTAATGAAATACCATCATCCCGGCAGCTCGTTGCTACTCTATCTTCAAATCGCCTATTTTCGCCTTAATGTTGAAACCGTTTTCACTA